TTTCTTGAAAACGCGAGTTTTTTTAAGGTTTCACTGGCCGTAACCTCCAGGGAAAGCAATTTCTTGTTGAACATTAGGATGTGTTAGAAAGCTTCGAGCATGCGCTTGCAGTGGCACACCCTGCCTTGGTGGTGCGCCACGCCTCGGGCGCCCTTCTAATTCGCTGATTCATTTGAAAGCTCATTTAGAGGGAAGCGTGGTTTATAGATGCTCTAGTCAGTCATCTTACGAAAACGTAACGTGCTGGCTATTATCCGATATTACCAAGAATCCCACTGCCGGCCACCGAGAGAGTACGACCCCCCTCCAAGCTCAACTGAGTACGACCCCCCGTTGGTACTTGTCCAACATAAGGTTGATACTGCCTCACAGACCTGGCACACTTGGTTGGCTTGTTCGGGATTTCATTTGCCAACGTACCGTGGAGTGACGGTCAGTACTATTGCCACCCTCACCTCTAACAAACAGTACTTTTTCCAATAATGTAGCCTTTCTGTTTACCACATCATGACCGACCATGGACTTACGGTTTTGAAATGAGGTATTCGAGCTTTTTTATCTCATGATAGCCCTACAAGTGCCGTGCTCACTTCTGAGAGCCTGGCATGACAGACGTTCTAAGTTTCAAACTTGTAATGGGCTTACTGTACGAGTATCGGACTCCTTATGCCTTCGCCATCATAGATAGTAACGTAGTCACAACAGGATTCCATGTCGAAATGAGTGAAATTGAAACTGGCAGAAGAATATTAATAGTTTCACTAGGAAGAAAAATACTCACAAGCAGCCGTCAGATACCTCAGAAACTTTCCCAGGCTCAGCTGTCATGTAGTAGTAGCACTCGGTGTTTGGCGGATAGAGCTTCGGATAATAAGGCGACGATATGATTCCATTGTAGTAGAAATCGTTGTTCGTTGGGCATCCAGTGAAGCCAAATTGTCCAGAATTGATCGCGGACTAAGCAGGTTGAAACGATAATCAATCAATTGAGAAGGTTACAGAGAAATAAACCCCTATCCGAACAAAGTGCTTTTTAAAAACCTGGAAGCACCCACCTTCGGCAATGAGCTCTTTTTGGAAGACTCGACGCTTCCGAGAAAAATAAGAGCAACTAGAACGAGAAACATTGCAGTGCCTGATCGCAAGCCTTGTGATTCCTCATTGCCTGATAGTGGAGGGGGATTAATTTTATCGAAAGCATCAGCCAGTCGCGCCGATTTGCAGAGATAGGGAAAGAAAATCGTGAAATTTCGTCCCAGTTGCTTCCTCTCGATTTCTCTATGGATTAGTCCAAGACGAAATCTGAAGAGTAAGGCGGCTTTGTTAATGAGTCATCCAGCCGGACGCTTAGTGATAAAATACTTGATCAGAACAATTGGGATCAAAGAAGAGCAAACTACTCGGAATTAATCGGACCCTGTCAGGGGTGCGCCACGCACTCCAGTTACCTCCTTTCCAGTCTTAGCATGATCTTCCTTAACAATACAACTGCGGTGAACAAGTCAGTGTTTAATCTCTCGGATGGATTTGCCAACGGATTTGCTAACAGTCGTCCCAATTCGGAGGGATGCTTGCATTTCTTCGCTAAAATTCCAACTTAAACCCTTTCACTTTGAGCATTTTTATAAAAAAAATTTTCTGGCTACATTATTATTAACAGTGAACCCATAAATGACACATACAGCGGAGGTTCGAGAAGCTTGTCAGTAGAAAAGCTAGAAACTGCGAAGTTTCGGAAATTGAACACAGCTTCTTAGTTTTTGGCTTTCAAGTTGAAATATTCCAAATTTCTTAGTTATGCCAAAAAATTTCACGATTTTGTGCAACAATTTGTCTAACGTTTTTGACAACAAAATACGATAGTATGGTCAATGTAGTTGAGGAGATGATTGACATAAATGGCCGCTTGTAAGATCATCGACGCTTTCATGTTGCCACTTGTACATACTTGTATAGCTAACAGCAGCACACATAAAATGGCGGCCAAAGCGATGAATTAGGTCTGTCTGGACGTGAGCTCTACTAAAGAGAAAAAAACGGTAGACCAGAAGGCTGATGTCAAGGTAAATGAAGAAACGTAATCATGAATTTGAATAGGTGGCATGCAGCCACCGCAGGGTCGTAGTGCTTGAGCAAAGCACTTGCAGCAACTTCACACGATGTTGCGTTTCTTGGGGCGGAAAGTGGCAAAGCGCTCTTATGTTCTCACCTAAATGAGCATTTGTTGACACGGGTCATGCAAATATAATAAATGATCAATCAAATCATCTGTGACGTGATATTGTGATTGTGGCAACGCGCTCCTCTACTACGTATATGAGACTTCGTGAAAGCTTCCTTCCTCATGCATAAAATGTAAGCTCGTTTGGGTGAATCTCATATACAATGCAATTGCAACTGTCTCTATCCCTACTGCATATATAAAGCAAGATGATGTTTGCTGCCAGCAGAGAATTCAAAATTTCCACTCCAACCGTGCGCCTGCCGTAAGAGCAGCTTTATACTTAGGCAACCACACAATATCTATGTGGGTCTGGGGAATCAACAAATCACTTGTACCACCCCCAGTCAAGGTATTCTAGGCCTGACGAAGATGACCCACCGAAGTATCGCGCATAATTTCAGAGGGATTTTTTCAAATTGTTTCGTGGGATTCTTAGATTTTTTGAATTTGGAGTTTTCATGGACTTCTAGATTCTCTCAAGATACCTTTTCGGTGCTTTTTTGTGTTACACAAGATTGATAGATATTGTAATGACTGCGCAAAAAGCTCTTTTCACGTCACAATGCCGGCTAAGGGCTAATGATTCTTTCCAACTGTCAAGCAGCTCAGGAATGAATAGTGAGGAATGCTTCACTGCAGTGATCATGATCCTGCAAACTGTGTTAACAGGATGACGACAGCGCAGGTTTTCGCTTTTTTTCACCGCATGGGGGACGCGCAGACGCGTCAGCTCGTCCCACAGGGTGCGTTTTTAGGAACTCAAAACTGAAAAATAGCAGAACAAGGGTACAACGCTAGTTGAGCGGAGGGGCCTCCAGCAAAGACACACGCTGCTTGTCTCTACCCTATGAGCGAAGCATTGGCGAAAAATCAAATTATGGAATCAAGGGTCTGGGGCAGTATAGCTAGTTCGGGAGAGGAAGGAAGGGGCGATTGTGAGATACCATGACGTAAAAAAAAAAAAAAAAGGGGTTTGTGGACTGGTGTGCATATATACACTGCCCCTTCGATAAATGGCTCAATGAAGTGAGGAATCACTGTGCAATGCTTATTGAGCGCGAATACTTTTCAGTTCAGTAGCGCTCCACGCAACTATGTTAGTAGAAGAAGCTAAAGATTCGAGAGGAGTCGGCAGTAGAAGGTGTTTAAAAAATTACGCAACTATGTCAAAAAAGGCTCTCTTAGTGGCCTCAAAAACAAAAGGAATCAACAGGTGCTGTAGAAATTTCTTTTGATTGACCGCTTCTATGAAAAACACAAGTTATGCCATCCGTAGAATTGTAATTCCTTTGCGTTCTTGTATCACATTGTTGTTTGCATTTGTTTTGTTTGTTAACTGCTGTTTTAACGCCGCAGTTCGCGTTGCGAAATGTTTTAACCAGAAATGCGATACTGCGCGCGAGCGGAAAGGTAGCAGGGTTCTAGTCTCGCCTGCGGCGCGAAGGTTTGTTTCACAACCCAGCATTCTTGTGAAACATTCGCAAGGCGAACTGCGGCGTTAAAAACCTCTCCGCCTGGGGCGAAAGTTTTGTTCACAACCCAGCATTCTTGTAAGCCTTGCGTATGTTGGCATTATACTTTTGTTTTAGTAACTCCAAGTAAACTGCCGTGTGCAGAGCTTAAGACGAGATGCGAAAATTGAATAACTTATTACCATTTCGATGTAAGTTAGAGGGCCTGTGCAGCGTTACTGCTAAGACCTTACAGCATGCGGCATGAGAGTGGAGAGTCTGGAGCAAAAGTGAGAAAAGTCTCCGGCATTAATGGCGGCTCGTGCAGCACGCGCCACGGCCTCCATTCCGCCTGCCTTCGCTACCCGAATTTTTGCAGATGAGGTCTAATCTTGTCGGAGAGACATACAGTCGATATCCGAAAGTTGGGGTGGGTGTCACCGGAAGTGACGTGCACTTGATAGAAGTGCGTGGATAAGCTGTTGCCAGCATGCTTTGCTGATAGCCAGCGATGTATGTTGGAAGCAGCTTATCCACCATAGTTTCTATCAAGTGCACGTCACTTCCGGTGACACGCCCACCCCAACTCACCGATATCGAGTACTACGTGGATAAGGCGGTCCGTCCTTCTTCAACTCATGGCAGCCAAAAAGGGTGGCAAGTAGAACGCAGGGCTCGTTGAACGAGGATAAGAGGGAGTGTACTGAGCAGGAAGAGGATACTGTGGAAACCATTGTTTTGTACACATAAGGAGTAGTATGGTCTACGTCAATCTCACGCTGCGACTACAAAAATACTTATATGGATTGTAAGGCACGTAATAACAGGGCTGAACAGCGGTACAGTGACCGTATAGGCATTGCCTCTCTGACGACCACAGTATCTGCTGTCCTCAGAAACCCAGCTCATCCCGGGAACGTTTGCTCAGGAGCCGGGACATCAGTGGACTACCGATGTTGGGATTGACTCGCGATCGCGAATCGTGAAGTCAAAATTGGATGTAAGTAGTGGTTCCTGACCCACCGCCTCCGGCGAGAATTATGCACGTAAGCACACAGAAACATCGTTCAACATGATTGTTTTGATGGTCCATTCGATATGGTGTGGGAGACCTAATGTTGCAAGGGCGTACCAACCACCCAACTCTTAATCTGATGCTATCTGACGTTATTGTGGCGCTGTACTCGTCACTTGTGTGCATCTTTTCAAGGGTGCCTTTGAAACTAAACTTCAGTCTTATGGAGGACAAGGTGCAAGAGCTTCGAGCAGCCTCGTGGAAAGTGAGGATTTACGGCGATTAGTTGAACCTATCCGCTTCCTCCAGTCAAATCCTCTGAAGCTCATGTGGCTAGCATTAAGGGGAGCTATTGTAGCGCAATCCCATGCCCCAAACAACCACGCAGCAGTTGTCAATCGCGGTCTTCAAGAAAGGGATTGCTTCTCAACAAGAACTCTTAGCCCACCTTGTGGCCAGTATTGAAGCACATGGTAGAGCATGCTTTGATGTCCAAATGCTGTTCGCTTTGATGTGTTCATAGACTCCATCAAGAATCAGCTCCTCTTTTCGAATGTCTACCATGAGTTGGAGAAGCCTCACCTATCGACCGCTTCAGACAGGGTATTTGCAGAAAAATGTCTTTTCCAATCGCCCCTTTGCGCTTTTCTGTTAGTAACTCTCTGCACTGTACCGCAACATTTACTTCTATATATGTGCCAAATTTGGTCCACCTAGGTTAACTAGCAGTGAGATATCATGTGAAAGTTACTTCCGTCCTTAAGTTTTGCACACCAGTGTATAAGTCGGAAATCGAACTAGACCGAAAGCTTAGTGAGGTTCAAGCTAACCTTTGCTCAACCAGAGCACATTCGACCCCTCAATGGACCACGCCGTTCAGAAGCATGACAATATATGGTTTATATATAATAGTAAAAAAATACGGAAGAAGATGGAAATGTGCGGAAAAAATGGGCATTAGGGTGCAGACGCGTATATGCGTCAGAATGTCAAATGCTGCCTGAAGTTCCTGATGCGCGTGCGCGTCACGGCCCGGGCGTCAACAATTTCAGCCGTTTCCGCAATCCTACGCTTTTACCCGTTTAGAGATTGTACATGTATTCTCCCTACTGGCCATGAGTTTCAGGCCCCCCCCCATCATGTGAGCAATTTCGACCAAGCATTCGACAAAGAGTAATCCTTTTCTATATGAATCGCTGATATGTGTGTGTCTGTACCTATTTACCTGTGTATCCGTGCACCTGTTCCGAAAGAAAGCTAATGCAATAATTTGACCGCTAAAAAAACTAAGGAGCCCGCAGGTCTCGTCATGCTGACCTTTTGTTTGGACTATTTTAAATGATGCTGTTGTCGTACCTGCAGGAGATGGGAGGGCGAGTGCGCAGAAGGATACCAGAAGGAAATCGCCAGCAAAACCGAGGTCCAAATCAGTTCCAAGGTTCCGCTACAAAGTGATGTCATATTGCGGTGAAACCTCTCGCTAGAAGATATACACACATTTTTATTCCCCTTCAACTTACAAATCGAAGTGAACACTAGTGAACTGAAGAAATATAGCATAAGCAGGTGAGAACAGTACCGATTGCAGTAGGCAGAACGATTATACTTATA